CCCCAAAACCCCAAAACCCCAAAACCCCACACCAATAATATTCTAGTTGAATATTAAGTTTTATTTATATCTGAAAATAAATCAAAGACATGATGGATTAGACTCAATAAATTCTCAATCTCTATAATAATGAACTAATTTAGAAGATACAAGAATCTAAGGATCTTTGGGCATAGATATCAATTGAACATACTCCTGTTGAAAATATCACCAAACAGCTAAGAAGCTTTAAATTGAATTTTGTAGATCCTAGTTTTACACCTTCTGAATTATCCCTTTATCCTTAAGAATTAGTAGAGGTAGGAGGGCCATTCGATAAGAAAATTCAATGGCGCAGACCAAAAGATTTCATTTAATCATTGAACCCACAACTTTTACCTGAGTAAATAAAGCCAGAAGTATTTAGAAAGCAAATTGAATCCAGAGATATTAGAGAGGGATCTCTTGGAGACTCATGGTTTTTAGGAGCAATTGCTACTTTAGCTGAACACCCACAGCTTTTAGAGAAACTATTTGTAAATAAGACTTATAATGAAGAAGGAGTATACAGAGTAAGAATATGCAAAAATGGAGAATGGCAGTCTGTAACAATTGACGACTATTTCCCTTGCTTTATCAATGGAGGACCCATTTTCTCAACTACAAGCGAAAATGAGCTTTGGGTGTTGATTCTTGAGAAAGCCTATGCAAAAGTACATGGATCATATCTAGCTTTAAGAGGGGGTTACGCTATTGAAGGTATACAAGATCTAACTGGATGCCCATCAACTTAATATGATCTGTTAAGTCAATATGTAAGACAGACTATTTAAAATGGTGACTTGTGGAAGCTGCTACAGTTTTATGAAAAAGAACAGTATCTAATGAGCGTATCAACTGATGGAGAAGATTAAGAACTCGCTGGGAATTTTATCGTGCAATTTTAAAGTTATTAAGATAGAGAGACAAATCTTTTGAAAGCTCACTCATATACGATACTTAAAATAGTTGAGGTCAATAATAATAAGCTTATAAATCTTAGAAATCCTTGGAATGCACCCTTTAATTTTAGAGGTAAATGGAATGAAAACAGTCCTCTTTGGACATAATAAATGCGAAGGCATTTAGAGCCAACATTTGACAAAGAAAATAGCAATTTTTGGATAAGTTTCGAAGAGTTTACTCAATATTTTAAGACTTTGAACACATGCAGGATTAAGAATTGGGAGGAAATTAGAGTTAGAGGCAAATATTTGAGAGTTCAAGATAAAAACAATCAAACAAATGAAATAGTACTGAGTAGATGGTACTACACTGTAAATTAAATAAATTTTACCTAAATTTTAATAGCTTGAAATAAAGAAAAGAACTCATGTGTTTATCGGAATCCATTAAGAAGATGAAAGAATACAGGGTGTTAGCGAAACAAGACCTTATTAAGATATTGGAGTTTTAGTATTGAAATAAACATCTGAGGGGACAAGACTAGTTTAAATGAAGGAGTTACAAGAAACTAGATAAAGTGAGCTCGACATATATTTGGAGGAAGGAACTTATTTCATCATTCCAAAGTAAATTTTAATTGAAATTTTATTTCTTTAGAACTTCTGGTTGCTTGCTTAAGGTTGATAATCAGGAGCAAGATCGCAATTAAGTTAATTTCCTAAAGAAACAAACGAAATAACCATCTGATCATTATCTCTCTACTCTTAAGGATATATTTAGAAAATTCGACCTTTAAATGAATGGAGAGCTATAATACCATGAGTTTGGGGACTTTTTCACTAGCCTAGGTTTCAAAATTAATGAATAAGAATTTCAAAGCTAGATTTTAGATAAGTATTGCTCTACAGCAGATGGATTGACATTCCATGGTTTCAAAGACTTCATGGTTGCATCATTATTCTAATATGGCTATGATAACATGATATAGTGGTTATATAAGCTAGGATATGTCTAATAGGAGGATAGATTCATATCCGAAAGATCTAGAGTCTTTATCATGACTATTCATAGTGAATATCAAGTTTAAATGGTAGTAAATGATTGTCTACACAACGATATTGAATTTAAAAGTAATGAATTGATTATAAAAGAGTTTGGAAGGGAGATCTACAATAATGGTCCTTTAAAGATATTCTGCGCTTTTTCAGAGTACTATTCTTTACAATTTATATTTATAGGAATATTAACTGTTACAGCTTTTTAGCTTAGCATATTGACCCTGCTACAAGTGATGATGTTATTGAAGAAGATTAAGATGATAGAGAATTTCCTATTCAAGTGAGGATAGATTTGACTCAGTTTAATAACGTCATTCAAACAAATACACATATGCCATTCATAGAAAAAACTATTGAGCCAGGAGAATCAATTTTTATGTTCCATGCCAAGATTACTGATGCAAACTTTAAACAGCCCTTAAAGCCAACAATATAATATCATAGGTTGATGTAAAGTGAAGATGCATAGAATGAGAGTAGATTCGCAATTTGAGACATTTAGATATTTAAGCAGCTATCTGTATTATTCTCTAGCCTTATATTTTTTATTTCTTATTTAATTTCATTTAGTTTAATTTAATTATATTGAGTCATATGGGGTTTTGGGGTTTTGGGGTTTTGGGGTTTTGGGG